ATGTGTGATATTTTCCACACGCAAGAAATCGCTGTGTTTGCACGCGCACACGGTGTGTTTTGTGCTGCGCCATCAGCCACGCGTGGCCGATGGCGCAGCACAAAACACACCGTGTGCGGCAGGCTTAACTAGTTCGTTCCGGAGCACGGCCTCGCGGAATTACTGTATTTTTTCAGCTAATGTTCAAAGAAAATTTGGCAGATGTGCAACTGCATGAATCTTAAAAATAAGCACATTAAAGCATTAAGAATTTTTAACATTAAGCACGTTATTGTTAATATCTTTAATTTTGAACCTCAGACTGCGGACTCCCTCATTTCGATGAGGACTCCTTCTTTTTGAGGGTAGGGAGTCCGTTGGACTCCCTTGTTCAAAAGTTAATTTCTACCCCTGCACTTTGGCTAAATGTTATGTACAGTTCTGTAGCTGCTCCTGAACTAATACATATGGTGTATACCAATGTATACATGTGTATTATAATGGCAGCTAAGCCATATACTATAGCTACTACATGTGTGTGTGATGCTGCATGTGGCTGCTTAGGTTGCCATTATGTCCAGTGTATGCTGTGGCTGTCTGACATATGTCTACCTCTCTGAGTCGCTGGCAGAACATCTCAGATGTAAGGCCCTCTTTCACAACGTGCAGCATGATAATGTTGGACTCCACAGCTGGTACATCCACCTCTATCACTGACCCACCAATCTTTGCAATACCTAAACGACATTGAAATGAGAATGCAATAGACATACTCCGCATAACTGATGCACATTCTTTACAATACAATTATTACGTCACCTGTCTTATTATGTCAATTTATTTTTGAATTCCCACATGTCTGACGATGCCTGGTTAGTCAGTTTCTGCCTTAAACCACATCTCCCGCTCTAATTATTCCAGTCCTTTTAGAAATGGCTTCTACTATGAGAATACGTATAACGTTCACACATTCACAACGCATATAGCACCAAGCACCAACGTGTGACACGTGTGATACGTGTACACATGCATACATATATGTACATATATGTATGTATATGTGCATACGTGTGAACTTTATTCACAACGTGTCATATCTGAACAGCCCTGGCATATATCCTGTGCACTGCATCATGTCATGACACCGTACCTTTAGCAAACTTGCTGGCGATTTCATGGTCGTGAGCCATGCGCATGTCTGCCTCACTGAGGGCCACTAAGCCAGCAGCAGCAAGGATACCAGGCTGTCGCATGCCACCTCCTAGCACCTTTCTACATCTAATCGTCCTAAAGAACACGGAACAAGAGCAAGTTGAAAGCCTATTACTGCACAGTCTGTACAACTGTACAACACTGTACAACTGTACAACTGTACAACTGTACAACACTGTACAACTGTACAACACTGTACAACTGTACAACACTGTATAACTGTACAACTGTACAACACTGTACAACTGTACAACTGTACAACACCGTACAACTGTACAACAGTGTAGTGCACAGTTAGAATTATGGCTAATTTGCATTGTCAACTTAATTCTCCACAGTATACTGTATGAACATTTCCCTTTACAGCTGTAGGATTTTCAAGAATTACGGAATAAAAAATGGCCTTAGAATGAACCAACAAGAGCCGCAGAGCGCCGAAGAAAGATTAAGGTTAGGTTAGGGTCACAATGTACCATAAAACAGGAGTTTTAGGCACGCGATTTGTATCAACCAATGGCATTTGGGAGGTATGCAGAATGCAAAAGGTTGCTGAAATGATGTGTACGCAACTGCGTATCTGCATATCTGCGCCTAACAAAGGTGTCACTACGCACGACTTAAATGTTACATTTATAACCGTAGCAACAGACCTCAGATGAGCCCAGGGCATCACGGCCGAATCGAATCCCATCTGATTTTTTATTACCTGTTTTCTGTATTTTTCTATCTTTATCCATTTAACTATTTTTTCCAATTAATGCAAATATTTACATGATTTATTTACAAAAATTTAATAACAACAATGAATTTTTACAATGAATTAAAAAAAGTGCTCTACGCGTTCGGCTATCCAGGCTTATTGGGTTTCTAGATTATGGATGTGCCATGAATATGACAACACTGTGACGTCATTGAGGCAGTTCAGGAATCCATGTTTAACCCGCCTCTTGAGGGTCAAAAAGTTATCAGACACTTACTCTTCGCACGTCAGTGGGAAGCACATTTCATGGTCTTTTCAATAAAGTGATAAAAATGGTAGGTCAGCGCTGAAACAAAAAAGTTTTTCACTCTGTCCATTAGGCCATGTCCTCAGAAAATATCTGATATCTGACCTTTCCCCCACTGCCCTTTGACCTGTGACCTCTAATGTCGCACTGGTGATGGGTTTCCTGCCCATCACACTATACACCGAATATTAAGAGCCTAGGTCGAGCCATTAAGATTTGTGCCGCAATTCCGTAATTCCTCCTATACTTTAAGTTAAGTGGGAAATATTCCCCCTCCATTTACACATCTTGACCTTTGACCCTTGACCCCAAATTTGCCATCCTGAGTGCTTTTCACTGAACCCCCTCCACGTCCCGAATATCGTGACCGTACGTCGAGCGGTTACGATTTGAGCCCAACTGTTGACGGACGCACGGACGGACACACGGACGATCATGCGATTCTACAAGCTGCTTCTGACTATGTCAGATGAGCTAAAAACACACTAACATAATTAACGAATGTCTGATACACCTCATGCGCATTCTCTTGTAAACTTTTGGCAGGGCATTTCAGTTCACCACCGACACCACATATTACGCATTTAGTCCAATCCATTCCACAAGAAAGCAAAACTATGGATATAAATTACATCCTACAATATTATATTTACACCATTTTGATCAACGTCCGTTTTCTTCTCATTTATTTTGCCTCATTTATACAAAAACATGGGAGAGTTCCACTTTGATGGCAGTCAAACTACTAAATATAGTATTACCATGTTCACCAGATGGTGGAAACAACCGGCACCAGCCAACTACGGTCTGCAATCATCAACAACCCAAGATATAGCAGCAGTTAATATAATTTGCAATTTCAATGGTAGCCATTTGGAAATCCAATATGGTAACCATGTTAACTAACAGCATGTAGCACCCCTTTTAAAATATATCCATATGAACTATTATCTCATATTGTAACACATTGTGTGTTCCTCACTCCATGATGAACGAGGGAGCGGTTTTTTTTTTGAATTTAAGCTTAAAATCTTCAAAACGGCAGTCAGTCACTCAGATAATTACCCATTAGTAGGGGTGTAACGATATACCGGTATATCG